GACTTACACTTACCAAGTTTTGGTGAAGCTGTTTGGATATTAGTTTCTGTTTCTTCTGCCAGAGAAGCTGTTGTGGCTCTTTTCAGCTCCGGGTCCAGGCTGAGTGGAGGTAAGGAGGGTGCGAAGGAGGGTAAGAAATTAGAACCTAAAACACTGTTATGTGGCGATGACTGAGGAGCAGCCTCGGAGGGAACTAGGGACCCTGTCACCTCAACTTCAACTTCGCTGGTAGGCACGGGGAAGTACGAGGTATGCACCACAGACGGCACCCAGGCAGACAGCGCAGTCGGATCCGCGGGAGTGATGGGATCTTGTCCGATCCTGTCGGGGCCGAGGTGGGTAGGAGAGTCATACTCGAAAATCTTGTCCACAAAGACCCACTTGAGGCCGGCGATGCAGAGGCACAGACTGATCAGGCAAGCCAAAATGGGGACAATGCAGATTTTCTCAGAGTTCAGACAGCCCTTCAGTTGTTCCGCTTCCAGGCAGATACAGCAAGTAGCAGCCAGGCCTGCTATCCCTTGCACCCTTGTCTCCTCTCTTTGAGTCTCTGGCACATCCTCCTCAGCAGGGAGCCCCTCGAGGGATGCAGTGGGGCTCAGCTGCATTGAGGGGCTGGGAAAAGCCTCCAGAGTGGCTTCAGACATATTTAATCATATATAGAGAGATTTTTTTTTTCAGTTGAGCACTCCTTTAGAAGGCCCTAAAACTCTACCCTAGTCCATCTTTTTACAAAGCAAGCGAGAGAGCCGGGGGTGGGGAGGGGGAGAGAACAGATCCACAAAAATCTTACAGCATCATAGTACAAAAATCAGAAAAGAGTTGAAGAGTCTGAATGTGACCCAAATAAAGGAGGGAAGGGGAGGGGGAAAGGGGGGGAACATCCTCTCAAACAATTTAAAAGGAGACACGAAGCATCTCAGAATGATTCAGCTTCTTTCCAGCTTCACTTTTAAATAATTTTGTTTATAATCCTTTCGATTATCCTCAAACCGTTCAAATTCTTCGGGGAGCCGAAAGGATGGGACGCAAATAAACGCTGCAACCTTGAACAAAATTGTCCTAAGTGAACCAACAGCCCAGAGGGAAAGGCTGGCTTCTCACCTTGAGCGTCTGAGGCTGGTGGCTGCTTAAATGGAGGAGAAAACAGCCGTCATGCAGTAGGAGCAAAAGGAAAACCAGTAAGAAGGGGAGCAGCAGCAGCAGCAGTGGCGGCAGCGGCGGCAGGAGCAGCAGCAGTGACAGTAGCAACAGCATCCTGTTATGCACAAGCGCCGGCAGAAAGAGGCTGAATCATTACAGAGCAGCAGGTGCCTGTTCCCTGAGCATCACTGCAAGCAATATCACTGCCGGGAGATCTGAAAGGAAGGGGATGGCAACTCTCTCCTCTCAGTTCTTGCTGTCTCCTGTTTCATGGTCCCTCGTCAGTACTTTAGTGCCTGCCTCCCTTCCTTCCCTCTGCTCTTCTGATGTACAGATTTCCCTCCTCTCCTTTCTCTCTCTCTCTCCCATCCTCCACCCCACCCCACCCCTCTGCAGGGCTGGTCGGAGTGAAATCAGCACACCCGGCAACACAGGACTGCCAGCGACTTCCTAGATTATCCAATTAGAGAAATAGAGACTATAAAATCAAATGGAGGCACGGAGGAGCCAGTTAGACACACACGCTCTCTCTCTCTCTCTCTCT